GACTCATGCCGCTGGGTGTACACGGTACTGTGGGTCTGACTCATGCCCGCTGGGTGTACACGGTACTGTGGGTCTGACTCATGCCCGCTGGGTGTACACGGCACTGGGTTTGAGTCATGCCTGCTGGGTGTACACAGCACTGGGCCTGAGTCATGTCTGCTGGGTATACACGGCAGTGTGGGGCCTGAGTCATGTCTGCTGGGTATTCACGGCATGTGTGGTCTGAGGTCATGCTGCTGGGATAACACGGCCAAGTGTGGGTCTGAGTCATGACTGCGGGTATACACGGCAGTGTGGGTCTGAGTCATGCCTGGGGTGTTGCGACGGCAGTGCTGGTCGGTCATGCCTGCTGGGTATACACGGCAGTGGGTCTGAGTCATGCCTGCTGGGATGTGCACGGCAGTGTGGGTCTGAGTCATGTCTGCTGGGTATTACCACGGCAGTGTGGGTCTGAGTCATGCCTGCTGGGTGTGCACGGCAGTGTGGGTCTGAGTCATGTTGCGGGTATGCACGGCAGTGGGTCTGAGTCATGACCTGCTGGGTATACACGGCAGTGGGTCTGAGTCATGCCTGCTGGGTATGCACGACAGTGGGTCTGAGTCATGCCTGCTGGGTATACACGGCAGTGGGTCTGAGTCATGGCCTGCTGGGTCTAACGGCAGTGGGGGATCTCGTCATCGCGCTGGGGTGACTATACTCAAAATGTGTTTACACCCTTACACTTCTCTTTTGGCGTAAATGCGGGGACGGGTGTTGCCATACGCCGGCGGCTTCCGCTCCGGCTGGTCACACTGGATGTATCTTGTCGACCAACACCCGGCTGTAGGCGACTTCATCAGGGACGTGTGAACTGAATTGAATCCCGAACTTCGGGAGACTCAGTGTCGACCTGGTCACAGGGCGGCCGAGAGTCGCGCGGTGGCACGGCACGGCAAAGGCCCTGTCGCGCTATAGAGATAGAGCCCGAGGTAAAGTGGGTTCGTTGAACCTCCACTGTAATAATCGGATGATGGGCTCCGGAGTGCTAGCAAGAAATTTAGCTCAGGAGGGAATTTGATTCAAAATCCGTCCCATCGAAAGCGTTATTTCCAGCGCTGCTTTTCATTCTCTAACTGAACTGGACTATAATCTGAACTAATGCTGCCGCGGAAAAAATATCCGACCTTGTTTTCACGTGAGGTCTTACAACAAGGAAATTCTGGTCTCGAGCTAAAAAAGGTATTTGATTGTTACTTATACCCGTCACAAAGCCATCAAATATAAAATGGTTCACCCCTAATATCTAATGTTCTCCTCACTCGAGACAGCCATTGTGAGGTTATGGGTCGAGTTACGCCGCCGCCGCCGCGCTCTCCATGGCGTCACCACTGCGCGGCAGGTTTAAAACATATACTATTGTGTGATGCTCAACTTTTCGTACGCTTTTGTACTATTCCAGCCAAAAATGTTGGGCACAAAGCCAACGTTAGGGGAGAGGCGACTTAACAAATGGGGACGGGTTTAGGGCTCCACGAAAGAACGCAAATCGACACCCTTACATGAAGCACTGAGATCAGCAACGCGAACTTGCCAGCAGAGAAGGCTGTTTTGAAATCCGTAGTGCGTACAAATGGACCCACTGTACCCTGCGGTTCTTTGCGTGCATGATGTGCGTACTGACTAACAACCCGCGGCAGAGCGCCAGCAGTCTGAGCGCAAACGCAGCCAAGTTTCAATCAACGGTCCGCTGTTGTTCGCGGATGCCGTCGTATTTGTCACAGCCTGTACCGCGGACGTCCATTCGAAAGTACTTCGAAAAAGCGCTCGAATTTTTCGAACAATGGGCGACTAAAATTGAATTATCTTGATATGCTCCAGATATCTCGGGAAGCATTCACCCGCCACATTCCATTCAAGCGCCTGAAAACGGGCTGATCGTCGATATGTGTCGTCAGTCAGCAGCCAACAGACACCTTGGATTATCTATGTCATGGTTAGAGTGACTCATTTTCTGACCAGACGAACTACTTCCATTAGCTCGTAGCCAGCATCTCTGCAGGTATCACTTAGCTTGCTGACTTAGCACTCAACACCCTGTTGTAAGTCGTTCCCTAAAATCCTATGGGGTGAAGTTTCGGGAGGCTGCAGCTCGTATATGTCGTCCGTCGATTCACCGTTTGCACTAAACCCCCAGCGAGCACACACACACACGCATCCACGTCGGCTCCAAACCTCCCCAGCGAGCACACACACACACGCATCCACGTCGGCTCCAAACCTCCCCAGCGAGCACACACACACA